ACTGACTTACTGACTTACTGACTAACTTACTAACTTATTTATTTACTTACTTACTGACTGACATACTGGCTTACTTACTGACTTACCTACTTACTGACTTACCTACTTACTGACTTACCTACTTAATGACTTACCTTACTGACTGACAGACTTACTGACTTACCTACTGACTGACTTACTTACCTACTGACTTGCTTACTGGCTTGCTTACTGGCTTGCTTACTGACTGACTTACTGACTAACTTACTGACTTACTAACTTATTTATTTACTTACTGACTGACATACTGGCTTACTTACTGACTTACCTACTTACTGACTTACCTACTTACTGACTTACTTACCTACTGACTTGCTTACTGGCTTGCTTACTGGCTTGCTTACTGACTGACTTACTGGCTTGCTTACTGACTTACCTACTTACTGACTTACCTACTTAATGACTTACCTTACTGACTTACATACCTACTTATTGACTGACTTATTTACTGTACCTACTTACTGACTTTCCTACTTACTGACTTACCTACTTACTGACTTACCTACTTAATGACTTACCTTACTGACTGACAGACTTACTGACTTACCTACTTACTGACTTTCCTACTTACCTTACTGACAGACTTACTGACTTACCTACCTACTTACTGACTGACTTACTTACTTACTGACTTACCTACTTACTGACTGACATACCTACTTACTGACTGACATACCTACTTACTGACTGACATACCGACTTACTGACTGACTTACCTACTTACTGACTGACATACCTACTTACTGACTGACATACCGACTTACTGACTGACTTACCTACTTACTGACTGACTGACCTACTGACTGACTTACTTTATTGTTATTTTACCAGGCAAACCCCATTGAGATCTCAGATCTCGTTTTAAAGGAGGCCTGAAGACAACCTGTTGTACATGTTTTTGGGGAGTGGAGGAAACCAGAGTACCTGGAGAAAACCCACACAAGCACAAGGAGAACATGCAAACTCCACACAGAAAGACCCCAGGTTTGATCTGGGGTTGAAC